GGCAGTGATTTTGATATAACTAATCAATTGGACATTAAAGTTTTTTTTTCAAGGCTACTGACACCCATGCCTTATTACACAAAACTAGTTTTCATCCTACCCACACTTATGCCGGTTTGGTCAAATCTCAGCTATTACGGTTTCATAGAATATGTACTAAACAGACTGATTTTCTCCAGGCTACCAAATTGTTATTTGCTGTACTTGCCACCAGGGGGTACTCAAGATCACTTTTACGCAGGTGTCAGAAGACCTTTTTACAACCCAAGAAACCTAAATCCGACAATATGGTACCTTTCATTGTTAATTACTCATTATCCAATAAGCAATTACTTAAACTGATCAGACAGAATTTCCAAAAGTTCACAGAAGATGGCCCATTTCTGTCCAACCATAGGGTTATTGCGGCTTATAGGAGGAATAAAAATCTCAAGGATTACCTGGTTCAGGCTAGACTCAAAACTAATTCAACCCCTAAACCAACTACACATAAAGGTCTTTTTAAACAAATAAAATGGGTTCAGAACACAGTTAACAACCAGGTTTTTCCAGTCGAGGCATCGGGAAACATTAAAACCAAAAATTGTGTTTATCTGGTCACCTGTACACTTTGCCATTCTCAGTTTGTTGGTGAAACTGGTACAGCTCTGATCACGGTGCTTTGTCAACACAGGTTTAATTCCCAAACCCCGGGTCAAGCCAATTCTGAGATTACAAATCATTTTAGCATCCATGGTTCTAATGCTATCTCAGCCGCGGTTTTGGAATCCAACAGATTTTGGACTACTTCCCAGAGGAAGTCTGCTGCAGCTGTTTGGATATCCAACCTTTCCCTTTGATTTGTATTCTCTTTCTACCCTCATCTCTAATTTTATAGGACTTTTAATGTCCACATGATCCCTAACCCTTAACCTAACCCTAGGGGACGTGCATATAATTTTGTTCTATTTTGTCCTATTTTTTTCTATTTTTTTTCTATTTTATTTGGAGGATACTGGATTCTTAGGGTAGGATGGAGAGTGCTTCTTCCTGATTGCTATGGCAACGCAGGTTATAACTTCCCTGTTTATCTAATCCGCCAGTGCCTCCTGTCTTGGGACGTCCGGATCCTCTTTTTCTTCTTTTGTTTGAATTCTTAGTCTTTTTGGGTGGTTCTGGTTTTGATGGCCAGTGCACGACTCCATTGGAGTCACAACTCTCTTTAAAACTAACCCTAACCCTAACCCTAACCCTAACCCTAACCCTAACCCACACAAATTGGACATCAAAGTTTACTTTAAACCCACAGACACACACGCACTACTTTATAAAACCAGTTTCCACCCCAAACACACCTACGCCGGTCTAATCAAATCACAGCTCCTTAGATTCCACAGAATATGCACCCAACACGCAGATTTCGAGGAGGCAGTGGGAATCCTTTTCAAGGTCCTTGGTAAACGGGGCTACTCGAGGTCTTTTCTCAGGTCGTGCAGGAGATCCTTCCTGCATCCTAGGCCACGAGATACATCCCCAATGCTCCCTCTGATCACGACATACTCCTCCTCAGCTAACATACTCATCTGCAAGGTAAAACAGAATTTTAATAAATTACAATCCGACACTTCCCTTCTCCAAAACCACAGAATAATTGCGGCCTACAAAAGGAACAAGAATTTGAGAGACCTCCTGGTCCATGCAGAATTAAAACCTATTAATGCGACTAAAACCAAGAGCAAAAGTGAATTTTTCAAACAACTACACTGGATACAGAGCAAATCTGACAAGACCGTTTTCCAATTGGATCAATCAGGAAACCCCAAGTCTAAAAACTGCATCTACTTAATAACATGTCAAATCTGTAAGATCAATTATGTGGGTGAAACTGGTAACACAATTCTGACCCGTTTTGCCCAACATAGATATAATATCAATAATAAGAAAAACCTACTCACACCCCTGGTCCGGCACTTTGTCGAGCATGGCTGGCAGGCGGTCACAGCAACAGTGCTGGAGTCCAACCAGACCTGGTCCACAGCCCAAAGGAGGAGGGCTGAAAAAACATGGATCAACAGACTCAGCACCATCTTCCCCGGTGGTTTGAATGAGAGGTAGTGCTTGGGTGTGACTCATAGTGGGTGTGCCCGTGCATTCAGGGGCCCTGCTGTCTCCTGCAGCGTGGTCCCTGACGTGAGGCAGCAGGACCTCCACTAACCCAAACCTAACTCTCTCTCTCTCTCTCTCTCTCTCTCTCTCTCTCTCTCTCTCTCTCTCTCTAACCCTAACTCACTCTCTCTCTCTCTCTCTAACCCTAACCCACTCTCTCTCACTCTCTCTCTCTCTCTCTAACCCTAACCCTCTCTCTCTAACCCTAACCCT